TTTCATTCTTATTTGCTAAAGTTCAACATTACTAAAATTATGTATTATATTTCTCAAGCTTCTTAATAACCTAACCTTTACCTGAATTTTATCTTCTCACGAAGGCATTTGTATAGCACAATTACAACGTTGAAAAAATTATACATAATTGCTACTTTTAGTGGGATATAGGGAAATTTCCAGCACATGAATCGGTTTTGTGTCTTCTTGCTGTATTGGCATATGGTTAGGCGTGAAATTCTTAAAGAATATTTTTATTAAATAAGACAGTGAAAAATGATTTTCGAAGGTATGAAGAACAGGATGATGTGGCTTTTTGTATGGTCGCGGTCTCTTTTCGTTTTATAGTGGTTGTTTGACCTTGATTTCACGACTTGATCATATTAGCAGGAAGACCTAGAGGAACGCACTGTCTGGAGTCCATAGTATGCATGATTATCTCCTGGAGTCGTACCAAGTCCACGGTTCGACTCTTGAAATGATCAGGCATACTATGGACTCCAGACAAAGTGCGTTCCTCTAGGTCTTCCTGCCAATATGACCAAGTTGCGAAACCAAGGTCAAACAACTTCTAGAAAAATGTTTTTGTCTAAGCAGGCTTTCGGGGCTACGAGTACACTTTATATGTAATTGAAAAAGTTTGTATGTATAAAGTGCGCAAGCTCGTTCAGTATTGTATGAGCGCTTACTAGATTGAATAGGCACCTTAAACTTCCATCCATATGTTTTAGATTTTTTTATACAATTTGTTGATAAGACACTTTTATTTTAGAAGACTGCTATTCATCCGCATGCAATTATACACACACGTGTGCTTGTGTAGATGTGCCCTCAATTATACAAATAAGAGCAATAGTCTTATTTAAGCCCTAAGGAAAGTGAAAATTGGTCATATATATGAGATATATTCACATTTAGGGATATAAGGCAATGTAAAACTCGATGGAAACGTAAAGGTGTGAGGTAATTCAACTACCCGCCCTTCATCACCTTAACAAAATAGGATGAGTAAATCTCATATACATTGGAAGTTTCGAAGACCTACTTATAAACGAAAAAGTGGATCCTTCGTAGAATATGAAATGCTGTAGTTGCATTGGATTAATTGAGAAGCTTTTCGCCAATTTAAGCTTTAGGTCTTACGAACCCTTTGGCTGCGTTCATCTTTGTTTTCTTCTCGATGTTCCTATTTAAATTCATAATCAAAAGCCAACAATGAATCTTTATACTTTCTTCTTCATTGATTGTTATCCTTAAAATATCAAACTTATTTTTATTATGATTCTTCCGGCTATAAAATAATTAACGTTACCGAATTTTCAATTCTGCTTCATCCTTTGTTGTGCCAATTATTGACTAGTTTTAAATCGCGATTTTTACGTTTTTTATATTATCCGACGCCATATCCATAACTTTTATTTCAAACTTAAATTGTGTTGCTTTAAGTCTTGTTTTTAGTTCCTTCAGTGACCATTTTTCATTACTTGCTAGGCAATTATTTCTTCTGCTATTTTTCACTAATGCTTCGTATCAGTTGAATTTTCCTTCGCCACTGCCTTACATAGAATTCCTTTTGGCGTCATTAGTTCGACTTTATTGCTTTATCTACCATATTGAGAGATACATCGGTAGCTCTTTTATAGACTCTCAAGAGAGGTCATAGCAGGTAGATATAACTCCGCTTTCACTTGTGCTTTAACTATTTTTAATGCTTTTTTATCCACTTGTTTTGCCTTTTTCTTCTAGCGCACTGTAAATAAAAAGAACTTCCTTCATTGTCCGTTCTTGTTCGTATCTTTGTACTTCTTTAGCCATATAATCTATATTTTTATAGCATCCCTCTATTCCATCTTATTTGTTTCCCTACTGACTGCATATATACATATATGCACATCCACTTTTTGTCTTATCCGCACACTGATGTACTGTCTGTCCATTTAATTCGAACTATGGTCTCACATATGCGCCACTGAACACATTATCCCTTACACTTTCATAAACCTAAGAAGCAACAATGGAGCGTGTTGAATCTGACAATGCGATCTAGCATTTCAGCTTCTAATGCAGAGGAACAAGCCCATTATTACATTGACCTCGAATATTTGACATATTGGCAGCTGGATTGAACTAGACAGCCAGTTGGTTTCCAGGAGTCTAATTACCGACTGGTTTTAGATTCACTCATTCATATTTCCTTGTTAGTGGCTACCTCCTTTTTATGACTTCTCTCATCATCACCTATATGTTGCCAATCTGCCTTAACAGCTACAGCAATTTCTGGTTATACTATTCTAAAGCATTCAAGACGGATCATTTTTAATGCAGCCATGTGTAAGCACATTCAGGAGACAATATACTTTTAAACGCATTTGAGCTTTTTTAAATTTTACTTTAGGCATCTTAGATATCGGCCCTTGATACAATATGCGATTTACTAGCATTTTTCGGGTATACTATTATTCTGAATAATTATTTCAAAGTAAATGAGCTGTTATTGCTTTACGCTTTCTAACTATGTGCTTATTCATTTTTACTCTAGCTAAGCAGTTGGTTTTCACCCAGTTCTTAATAAGGATCTTTATGACCTTCCATACCAACAATTATAATGGGTTAAGAAGGTATCGTAAGACTGAAATTATTATCGATTACAGTCTGGAAATTATTAAGCAATCAGTTATCCCTTCGTATTTTTATTCAGCATTCATCGCATTCTGGAATAATCAGTTTTCACATTCTTTAGAGATGATAACCAGTCTTTATTTCATTTGTGATCAGGGTATCTCTTGGTAGTTGCTGACATATATTCTACCCATTAATTACTCTCAAGACTGGTCTTCTTGAATTTATTTATTTAATGATACTAAGATGGATTTGTTTGCTAATCCATGTGGCCACGTTAGACACCATCGAAGCTTACTTAACTTATTTTTTGCCCATATCAAAACATATTTTTAATCCTATTTTTCCTTTGAATTGACATGTAATTGAATCTGCTGAATTTTCCAAGGTAATGTTTTGCCTCTTTTAGTGATGCATCATTTTTCTACCCTTAATCTTCTAAAAATAGGAGAATATTTATTTATATTATTTACTTTTTATGTTAACTATACTATACACTTAAGGCCATTCATATTATGCTGTGAATAATAGGTAGTCATATTAGTTGATTTATTATATGTTCAGCTTGCTGGAAAAATGGAACACATCGAGTATCCTCCTTTACTCTCTCAGATGCTAACCTTGTATATCACCTGCAAAGACAGCCCCGTTCGACGATCAATTAGTTCTTTGGTGTGGTATTTTTAGATGGAATTTTCGTTTGCAATACAAATAGCGATCATTATTCGGTAATTTTTACTAGTCAGTTTATTCCAGCTTCAGTACTTTTAAGAATCTGTCACCATCACCGAATCTTCATATTTTCTTCATACCACCATTCCCAGTCTTATTCCCGGCATATCTTTAGCCTTAACTTCTTCTATCCTCAGTTGATTGACGCGTTTGCAAGTCTAACGACTAGTCGGTATGACTTTTCTGCTGGCTCATCAGTCATTCAATCAGCGAGTTAGACGTTCGGCCTGTCAATCAGTGACTAGCATTTAGGCATTTTCACCTGTATTCCTTGGGATATGTTGGCCCTAGCTTCAACGCCAAGGACTTTCTACAGGGTATTCGTGTGGTTACATTTGATAGACAGGAGAGGAGACGTTCGAGAATATCTCTTTTTAAGTCTGGGCTCTGCTCCTATACGCGCCATCGACTGACATGTAGAGACATGGGGGAGAATCAGGTCATGGGCGAGTGAAGAATGTTCAATTAGCTGTGGTCCTTTCCAATTTTCTCCGACCTCAATAACTTGCGTCTGATTTATCTCACTCTTCATCAGGCCCCTTCTTCTGAATGTGGGTGTCTTCATGCCTTCATTCGAATGTGTGCATTTGCTTGGGAGCAAGCACCTTCTGTGGCATTAGCATTTCTACCCAAACCCAAAGGTAAAA